TCGTCGTTGCAAGAGTGTGATATTTCTGAACTGTCGGCTCAGCAACCTACCCCGCACCTCCACCAATAATCTTACAAGAAAACGTATATTTACAGATATTTACAACGATTACACGCGATGACAATGCCTGGCGCACTGGCGGGCTGGAACCAGTCTCTATCCACTTCGTAGTCTTTTCTTTCAGCCTGGGACCCTCTACCGCTTTACGCCCCAATCCCACTACCTGAACCTGCCGCTGGTCACCTGGGAGTCACCCGCACTTATGATCGCGTCCGGCGCCGTTTTTTCTGGCCACGCCTATATCGCTCTGTGCAAAAGTATGTCGCCAGCTGCGACCTTTGTCAACGTCGAAAACGACCAACATCGCTTCCAGCTGGCCTCCTTCACCCCATTGAGATCCCTGCTGAACCATTCTGCCGCGTAGGGCTCGACCTTCTCGGGCTGTTTCCCACTTTTGCATCCGGGAACAAATGGGTTGTCGTGGCGACTGACTACGCGACACGTTACGCGATCACCCACGCTCTTCCAACCAGCTGCGCTACCGATGTCGCCGACTTTCTACTGCATGACATCATTTCGCATCACGGCGCTCCTCGAAAGCTCGTTACTGACCAAGGCCGATACTTTTTATCTCGTGTCGTCCAAGATATCACACGTTCGTGTTCCACGAACCACAAGTTCACAACGGCATACCATCCACAAACTAACGGACTTGCAGAGCGCCTGAATCGCACTATCACCGACATGTTGTCGATGTATGTTTCTCCAGACCACCGTGACTGGGACGCAACGTTACCCTACGTCACCTTCGCTTACAACTCCTCCAGACATGACACCGCAGGCTATTCCCCGTTCTACCTTCTTTATGGACGGGAACCCTCTCTGCCTCTTGATACACTCCTTCCCGCTGGTTCAAGCTCCCCTGTCACATACGTCCGCGATGCCATAGAGCGAGCCGACGCAGCACGACAGATTGCCCGAGAACGACTCATGCTTTCTCAAGCCTCTCAGAAAGATCAATACGATCGTCACCACCGCGAAGTTTCGTATGCACCAGGTTCTCTCGTACTCTTGTGGACCCCATGTCGTCACATCGGCCTCTCAGAAAAACTTTTATTTCGCTATGACGGACCATACAAAGTCCTTCGCAAGATCACCAACCTCACCTACAGCGAGTCGTCGACGAAGCGCACTCAATGCCACCACCATCCACTCTTGTGCACGTCGTCAGACTGAAGCCTTATGTGTCACCCAACACTCCCCTTTCGTGACAAGCGCCGGGTCGGCGCTTTAACGCCGCGGGGTAGTGCCACAAGGCAGTATGGGATTGGGGCATAAAGCGGTAGAGGGTCCCAGGCTGAAAGAAGAGACTACGAAGTGGATAGAGACTGGTTCCAGCCCGCCAGTGCGCCAGGCATTGTCATCGCGTGTAATCGTTGTAAATATCTGTAAATATACGTTTTCTTGTAAGAATATATATATATTCCTGTATAGTATGAACTATCAAGAAATTTGAATACCACTTCTAATTATGTATACTTTCGCAGCCCCTCAATAAATTTACGAGGAGAGCGTCACCATGTTTGTAAAAACCACTTTTACTCAGCGTTTGAAGCTGAATCAGTTTCCATAAATAACAGGGAAAATATTCAAATCGTGTTTCTTTCATACGTTTTCATCATATAAAAACTATGAACGTATATTGCCGAGTGTCCTGAAAATTAGTTGTTAAGCATTCTGGCTGAAAAAACGCGAAGGTGCAGAATAAACGTCACAAAATTCGAAATACTTTAGTTTCACACATCTTCATAAATAGAACAACGACTTTGTCACGCATTCAGTGTCACATAATTCAGCTAAATGCATTGTAGATTTTTCTTTCAGCCTCAACGTAAAAAGCTGGTACTGAAAAAAAAAACGTCAGGAGCTCGGCGTGCACACGAAAATTCCATTCAAAACAGCGCCTACGTGCTGTACTAAATACGCGACATGTCATCACTGCGATAAATGACATTTAAAGGGGTCGTGAAACGGCCGCTTTACAACGACAATGCGGCACCATCGGCAGTCACATGCGCTATAACTGTATCATCAGCCCGAGTGGACCTGCATAGACGCTTTGCCTATCGAGGAACACGGAACTGTATGGAATATCGAGCACGCGCAAGAGGCGCTCATCCGCGTCTGCCATACGCGATCCGCGTTTCACAAGGACGCTGCTTAATATGACGTCAGAGTTCAAGTTAGCGCCGATTTCTTATGACAAAGACGCTGATGAGTTTCCCAGTTGCACGTACTCGCAAGTACCGAAGAGTTCCGCGTTCCTCGATAGACAAAGCATTACTTATGATGACGTCACCTAGTTAGTGCGTGTGGACGCCGGTGGCTTCGCATTGTCGCTTTAGAGCGAGCATTTCACGACCCCATTAAGAAACACTGATTATAATAACTGAGTGGGTCACTGTTGTAACAACGATCAGTTAATTTGCTGTGGCTGATGCCCCCAGGGAGCCACCGCAACCTGTCCCTAGGGAGCCTACATGAACGGTCGTTTTTAGGATGGAGACATCCTAATAAGTGCCTTCAAGAAACTCAGCCAAAACCAGCGCGCAACGGGGCACGCTGTTGCCAGCTTCCACCAAATTCAGCATAGTTTTATGTGCGCCGCCATTTTAGAGCCAGCCGCCGCTCCCTCTAGCTACGCGAAGTACGGCGCAACAAAAAGGAGCCTGGGCTTTTGACAGCGGCGGTTCTCAGGGTCGTGTAAGCGAACCAGTTCTCAAAGTGAGCGCACGAAGAAATTCGCAGCCCACACACAAACACTTGCGACATAATACTGAGGTTACGTTGACACGAACGCAAGCGTGGCAACAGCTCAGACTAGCGAGCGCGTCTCCGTACGAACGCGCGGACGCGTCCCGTTTGTGGGCTTCCTACTCGCAATGCGTGGACGCAGCAACAACTTTGGTTATCTACTCATTCGCGAACACCACGAAACACATATACGTGTGCCACAGGAAAAAACAGTGAACGAAATACGCAGTACTCACAGAGCAAATACGAGACGCACTGGTGGGCTCCCAGCCGTCTCGCTTCACTTGAGCCAGCCATAGTTCTCGTCGGCCAGGGCTCGCTGGGAAGCGGAACATTCGCACCCCCTTTCTGTTGTGGTTAGTGCAGAGCGGTACGCAGCATCCAGGCATTCTAAGGCTTCACCGGCAGCGTTTAACACGCTAGCGCAACGTTCGACGCCGTATTATTGAGAACTAAACGCAACCGGGCGTAGACGCAGTGTGGGCACCAAGATGGGGCGACAGCGCGGCGTTGCTGTCAGACAACATTGTGTTTTGGCAAGCGGCGGCATGTAGTGGGTCAAAGGCTGACATCACCCTAAACACGGCCGTTCATGTAGGCTCCCTACCTGTCCCCGCACCGTCGCGCTGCAGCGGCCGCAACTGCAACTACGGCTGACCCGCGCTTTCCCATTAGCCCCGTGTACATGGACGCGACGGGGGCGGGTTCAGCTTACCTCGACGCGCCCGAGTTTATGAACTCGCACGGACGAGTTGAGGTGAGCGGTGATCGCAGCGACGCTTTGCGTCGAGGCGAACCGAAAGCTCGTCTTCCGGTACCGGTTTCCGCTCCTCCAAACCTGCGCTCTCGCCGCTGTGGGCTGCAGTTGTTTACGCAGTTGTCGCTCCGCCACCGCGATGGCTGTCTTGGTATTTTTTCTCAGTTCGCACCAGCTGTACTTTATGGTTGTGTTTGTGTCTTGGCTAACACTGCACAACGCGATGGCAGCAGTGGTTCTGTTGCGGCACAGCGCTCGCCGCAGGCGTATCCACAGCCTGACGCACCGTCCCCTGTTCACCCCTGGTTGGTCTCTCCAGGAATTCGCCGTGATTCATGGTTTGTAACGCCTTTTATTTTTGTACCTGATGCTGTGGAAAATCCTTTGAAGCCCTACACGCGAGTCATTTTTTGCAATAGTTGTGGCTTGTCGCTAATACGAATTAAGCGGCGCCCTGAACCTCGTTGAAAATTTTAAATTGAAAACAATAAGCAGTTTTTAAATGAAAATGACTAAAGACCCTCATCAATTGTTGGAACAAAGTGTACAGTTCCACCACAATTAAGTGCACCATGTTCCTCTTGCCTCATACGCTCACCCTGTTTGGCTAATCTGATTTAAATAATTTAATTCATGGGTCCCGGGCGACTTTTCAATCGCGGTTTTACGGTAGTCGTGTCCCACTGCCGTTGTGTGTACGCATCGTACTTGTGTTAAGCAGTAGAAACCAAGTGGAATTCCAGACAACGGAATGGGTGTGATGTGACCATCTTCCACTCAGGTCCTAGAGTTTCCTAAGATGCACATCACTAGTCTCTCACTACTGTGCCTTGTTTGTTATCCAAAGAGGCAGCGAGGTGAGACATTGCACTGTGGCATGTCTGAAAAATCAGAAGAAAGGGCAAGCGCGTAAGCCTGGAGGTGAAATACTGGGCTGAACTCAGTGGCAGTAGGAGACAAATAGGTAGATGTTTAGGGGTTTTTATTTTATTAATCACACACAACTGCACACATACATTGCACACACAAAGAAAAGTTGGCCTATTGCCTCGGAGCGCGACTGTGCACTGGCAGGTAGGACATGAACGGTGGCATTTGGGCAGGAGGAGGGGTGTGCATGCCTTGAAGACCGCTTAGAAAGTTGGCCTGATGGGCAAGAAACTGTCCCATAAGGGCTTGTGTTCCCTGCAAGAAGGAGTTTGTGACTCCTGCCAGGAGCTCCTTCATATTTTCATGCTCTCTTTGGAGAAGCTGATTTTCCATTTCGAAGCGAATGGTATTTTGCTTCTCTTGCTGCTCAATGTTCTTTTCATACGTCTTATCCAACACCTTTTCAAACGTGGTTGTCTTGCGGCGCTTCGGGGAGGGGGGGGGGGGTTGCATCAGGGGTCAGGTTTCCACGTTGTGTTCCTGATGTGTTTGGTTCTTCTTGCGATGGCGTAGATGTTGCAGCTGAAAATAGAATTCCCATGAGAGAGCCTTTTCCACGTTTATCACAGTCTCTTTAGCTTTTTTCTTCTTCAGTCTTATGTAGTTTCGTCTCATCCATTTCAGAGGGGGATGTAATTGACCTTGATGTTTTATGTATGCTCCTTTTTATGACATGTTTAGGAATACGTGGTCTGTCTGCATGTTGGCTATAAGGCGAGTATGTGAAAAAGGCTTAACCTTTTCAATTTGCAAGTGCTACAAGTGTTATTTATTACTTTGTATTTTCCCACATATATTATGGTCTGAGGCTTTACTGTGTATGGAGGGATTCTAAGAATCGAGAAGAGTAATTAATATCTCGAAGAATTCTTGTACATAGAAAAACTGAGGAACTGTAGAGTAAGTCTTTTAAAAAGTGACTTGTGCCTTAGGGAAAACATGAGCCGCATATGTCTTGGAACACCTGACCATACTTGTTTTGCTGGCAATTTTGTTCCAAGAGTGGACATCACCTACTATGAACTCATGTATATGCAGTAAATAAAGCTTGCACGCATGTTCTCTGCATCGTTTTTTTTTTTCAGTCATATTGAACACTGAAGTAGGAATAGGAAACATGACTGCTGTGGCATTACAGCGCAGAAAAAAAGAACTTACAGGTTTCTAGATCGTCGGACGCATCTCCTTCCTCTTCGCTGCCATCTGCAATTATAAGTATTGTATTAGTGCATTTGCCATAGGTCTTCATTGTAATCAGGGACGGGAATATTGACAGTACAACCATGTGCATGGTCAATTCATGATCTACATTTATCCTGCGTAGCATTCCTTGCCGAGTACCCCAGCACCTTAGACTGTGGAATGCCATGCCTTCAAACAAAAATGCGTGACGGGCGGAGTAACACATTTAATTGTTATAACCGAAATTGAGATAATTGGTCAAACAGAATTTTATCGCCATAAGAGTGCAAATTCCCTTAATTGGTCATAAGTCATTATCAATAAAAAACAAGAATAACCAAAATTTAAAAATATCACAAGAACGAAGTTACGAAATAAATACATGGCTCATTCCACGCTAAACGTTCCAGGCAGTACGCTCGACCATCTCCGATAAGAATATAAAAATTCATGGTCGATCGTTTGACTACACTAACGTTTGACTACACTACACTACCCTGGCGAGGTGACCAGAAACTTTATTAAAGCGTTCATGTGCACGTATTTGAGATTTCTGGCGCACAAACCGATTTCCTGCTACGGGCAGAGCAAAATAGCCGGTCGTGAGAACGATAACCAACAAGCTCTCGTAGGACGTGCCAAGCAAGATTTAAACGTAAAAGTGATCTGAATTTACCGCATAACAGAACGATGTCCTCGTCTTCGGCGGCGGTGTCAACGCGGTAATCTCTTGCTAGCACCATCGGGTGGTCGCCAAGCAGAAGGCTCATTTTGTCAAACCACTTCCACTTTGACGGCTCCCCGCCACTTTTGCATAGGAGCAGGCGTTCCTGTGAATGCCAAAAAAGTCGTTAGAAATTAAAGCGCCTGAAAACTTTTCGAATCAAAGCGAACAGGGAGGTACTTACAGCCGTGAAGCGTTTCTTCAAATTCTTCCAACAGGTCCTTATTTGCTCCCACGTCCACGTCAGGCCCTGTTCCTTCAAACATCTTTCCAGGTCCATGAATATGTCCTTACTTTTTTGCCCCTTGCTATCGAGCAAATCACTCAGTTTTTTCTCGTTGAATAAAGCTAGCAACGTCGTTATTTCATCATCTGTCCAGATGGTGCGTGGAGCCCGCGAGGATGTCATCGTGCCTAGGGCGCGCGTACCGGCCGACAGAGAAAGAGCAACGTCGGAGAGATGGGGACAGGGGAAGTGGAGACCGCGACGGGCGGGAGAGGTCACGAGCCGTCAACTCAGCGCGACCCGGTTATACATGCCCTTTCTGAGCGCGGCGAGTTCGGTGAACCTACCCCCTGTCTCCGGGTCGACGGGACCAACACCTCCTAAATTCTCCAGGCCTGCGCCTCACGTGACATGACGTCAGCTACGTCATCACTCGCCGTCCGACCGGTCCTGCGGGAGCGCGCCGCTTCTGGCACTCCTCTCGCAGTGAACGAGTTGTATCTCAGCAATATTGTTTTCTCTCGCGTCTCAATGTCTTCAAAGGGTATTGTTAATTATAAGAAACTTGTCAAACGTGGAAACTTCCTGTAGTAAGAGTTAGTTTATTCAACATGTACACACGAAACAAGGGCACGAAGCAATGATCAAAAACACAAATAAATGAACATACTAATGAAAATTACAAATGATACATGAGCACTTTATTTTGGAGCAACAGTTTTCAATTTCGTGCTTTTGCGACAGCTTTGGCATCGGCTTTAGCAACAGCGGCTGCGTCATTTCTCTCTTTGCAATAATTATTTAGCAGAACATTTGTCGCACATTTTATCAACATATTTATCACCAAATCTGGTTCGTGCCCATTCGCACAAGTCACCAGTTCCTCAAATGCTGGCAAACTCTCCTTCACAAGCTGTTGAACAATGCATCTGTGATTTCGGGCCTGCAGAAAGCACCCGGCATTTTTTTCATTCTGCAGCAACTTTGCAAAAACAACTTCAGTGTACATCACTACTGTCACAACACACGCGTTCGGAAATTTCAAGCCACCTCGATTGAGACTTGCTATTAAAGAATTAGCATCACCATCGCACTCAGCATCGCAACTGTCAGCAACAAGGTTCTCTTGACAGTAGTTGCACTTCAACGTTTTTACCACAGAGTTAGTGCAAAAGCCTCCAACATAAGCAAAAACAGCGACGCGTGTGCTTAAGCTGTCAAGATCTTCGGGTTTGACAGTAACTCTGAAGTCCTGTTGATTTGTGGCTGTTGCCGATGGAAGAGCCTCATCAATGAAATCGTCACTGCTCATTATAGGAAGAGTATTTTGTAGGCGAATCCTGCCTTCACTCTCGTACAGCTGCCTAATGCTGATGTGGTAATGACCACCAGCCATTTGCCTGTACTGGACAAATCGGTTTTCGAGGCCGTCTGTCTGCAGCTTGCCGAGCAGGACATATTTATAACGAAGCTCGACAAGGCAGTACTTGGTGAATTCAAGTATTGCATAGGCGGAATGCCTTAGAGCAGATTGAGTTTCTCGCGTGAGAACGCCGTTGTCGTGTTTGTAGGATTCCCACACATCCAACCAAGTGACAAACGCATCGAGAAATTCCAGCTTAGGGTCACCATTCAGGCACGAAACTAGCTCTTCATAAAAATCTCTGTGGTGATGGCCTTTGTGAGGTGTTTTAACGTTTACAATCTTCCACCAGCGGAGAACTATCCTGATAAAATTGGCAGTTTCTTTGGCATGCCATAAAGCATGAAAGTTCCAGTGGTGATCCAGTGCCTCAGCTACAAAAGCATTGAATATTTGTAGTACTAGCTTAACATTCTGCCTTTCGAAGTTGCTAGGATTTAGCGCCTTTGACGAAAGGCGATAGCTGTACTTCAAAAGCTGAGAAGCCTCTAGCTTGTGCAGCTCCCGAAGATCTTTGAATGATGACCGCTGTATGCAGTCGGGATGGACACTGTTGTTTGAGAGATCAAACATAGGAAAACATAGGTTTGTCCCAAGATTCTTTTGATTTATCCAGTTGTTTCGAATGCATTTCAACAAGTGCACAGAATCCACAACATAAAACATAGGTCTTGTTGCGGCTTTTGGATTTAAGTAAACGATGCTCGGCTTTGGCGGATCTGAAAACATACTGAGTGCTTTGCGATTGATTGCGTTGTTGTCTGAAACTACTGCAAGAACTTTAAAACCAATTTCCTCAAGGCCAATGATTACATTTTTCAGGACAGCATGAAGAGAGTGAGCATTCATTGTTCGTGCAGGCAGAATGTGCACCACCTCGCGAAAAGAACTCAGCATGCTTTGCACCATAAACACATGAGCAGAAGTAGCGGCCTCTTCACTGTTTCCTGCTGCCCCTGAAATTTTCCCCCCTTTAAAATCGAACAAAGGCTGGATGTGAATTTCGTCAACCATGGGAACCACGGCACTTTCATGCGGCTGCAATTGTTTAAATCTGTGCTTTATGTACCTGAGAAAATTTTCACTGGCTGACTCAGTGTCAGGCGACAAGTGAAACGAGGAGCAGACATTTCGACAAGTACTGGGATGTGGCATGGCAAAAAAACCTGAACCCCTGAGAAATTTGTAGGCGTGTGGAGATATGGTATGCAATATGCAAGCAACCACCATACTTTCGGAGGAATACTCCAATCGTTGTTTTCCAAGCAACGCCATCTGTTCTCGCAAGAAGCGACTGATACGTTTCTTGCTGTCAATGGCATCTCGTTCAAGTTGCTCAAGAAGGCTAACGACTACGTCACAAAGACCTTCTGAGGAGCATTTTTCATCGAGGATGCTTTGAAGCCTACTCAGGATGGCAGACAGGACCTTCACATTCCCAGTGCTTCCTGGCCCGACATAATCACTTATACGGCTTAATTTGGTACCATGAAAACATACACTGATACTCAGGTCGCTGAAAACAGTAACAGATGACCGCAACATCGGCATGCTCTCATCAACAATATTTAAAAACAGGGCACAGTTTGTGCGGTGAATTACAATCCACTCATTTGGCACAGGTGCACTTTTCAAGCATTCCATAAGCTCAAAAATCGAGGAAAAACAGCATTTCGTTTCTTCATCACGATAAGAAGCCTCCGATTCTGCGATGGCACGAGCGAGGTCCGCCGCTTCTCGGCGCATTTTTTTCGTTTCCGGGCATTCTCTCGGAGAAGGGTCATCCTTCGACAAGTACGAAGGACATCCTGGGAACAGTGTGGGCACTGATCCTGAACGCAGGCGTGGTACTTTCAGTGAGACCTCTAGCACTCTTCCTGTCATAGGATCCGTGTAGGACGACTTGTTCTGAAGGCATGACTCGGTGAAATGCAATGCGCATACCTGCATACCAATGGCAGTCGCAGAGTGTCAGCGAACCTCGGAATGCGTCTAAGCATTGCACAAGCACTTCGCGAACGGTTACAATGAGTATAATTTCACCATCAGTGTGATGCAATGGTGACATCCAGTTTGCTCTTACCTTGTTGTTTTCCGTAGGGAAGAAATCCTTTCTTGGAATAGCACTGAGTCACTTCTTCCTTAGCACTTCATCCTTGGGGAATGAAAATACTTGAACTTTCTTCCCGGTCTTGTAGTTACTTGAACATGCCAGCACACAACACTTATTGGGCATGTCAGAAGCTTCGTGCAATAAAACTCCGGCAGTAAAATTCACTGCACACAACGCAAAGAAAATGGCTCGGCAGATTCGCGAAAAAAACACGTGCAGCACGGCCGTCACCACTGCAGCAAGTGGAAATTCGGGAATGCGCGACGGAACCGGTCAGGAAGTATTGGACTGGTAGACGGCTGGTGGTGACGTCACGGCGGAGGGCGCAGGCCTGAAGAATTTTTAGGAGGTGTTGACGGGACTCGCCGCGACGACTCTCCGCCCCGACGCGTCCGCTTATACATGGGGAGGGCGAGTCCAGAAAACCTGTTTATTTCGACTCAACGTGCCCTCGTCGGGTCAATGTAAACGGGCCTATTGAAAGCCGCTCGACGCGGCGGGCCGTACCGTGCAACGTTTGGTACCATGTGCTTTTTCATCTAGCGGCCGTGGTATAGGCAACCGACCACGAAAGAGGGATCCACGCAACCGACAATGGTTAAGTGGCGCAGCAATCGGCCCAGTTGTCAGCGCCACGATGTTGATTCCACGAAGCGTCGAGGCGGCCAACGAGCCATTTCTACCGTTCATGTGACGTGCACGGATGAAGGAAAGGTAGGAGAGGCCCCGACATCACTCGTTGTGAAGCCGCGATGAAACCGGAAGTCAACCATATTGACTGGGCAAATTCTCCTCTCTTGTTTACATATGAATGCGAAGCAGAAGGCGCGACTTCTCTCTGTCTCAAGAAGCACGTGGCCTGCGCGCCGCGTGCGCCGGTGCTATCCGAAACCAACGGAACCGATTTCAACACGCTGTCCTGCCGCGATACGGTTGACGAAATCTCTGCGTATCGGTGTTGCACTCTTGCACTGCCGGCGTTTACGATAAACACGGCAAGTTGCACGTTAAGCTTTTTTATTTTATGTGTTCTTTTTGTGAAAATTAAGATGATATTGTTGACTTCTGTATAAACGCAATTACAGAGGAACAACCTCAGGCGAGAATCACAATGGGTGATTGGCACACTCGCGCGCCTGTCAGCTGATTCTGTCCTTCATCTTCCTTTACTTCGAAACAGGACCCCCGGGCGTTGGAGCGCTGTCTCTGCGCGAGTCCGATGAAGTACGACA